TGCTCTTGGCTAGATGGAAGGTTGAATATAGGGCATAGCATTGTAGAATGGTCAGTTTAGTTTTTGTAGATAGGATTGGACAAATAAAATATTAACAAACTCCATCTTTTTTGGTCTGTGTGCCTCCCTTAGTAAATATTTTTTCTTTTTCCATTAGTCAGATTCTTGCCTAACACTCTCTTCCATTTTCCTCCCTGTGCCTCAGTTTCCTCTACTTGTCTGATGGTTGTTAAGAGCCTCAAATGAGATGCATAGTTTCTGTCATACTTGTCAGCTGTTCATTTTTTTCCCCATGTTTCTTCATGAGGACATTTTTCCATGTGATTACTATGTTCCCCAGTTTACAATGATGCAACTATTCAACTTTACAGTGGTGCAAAAGTGATGCACATTCACTAGAAACTGTACTTCAAGTACTCATACGACCATTCTGTTTTTCTCTTTCAATATAGTATTCAATAAATTACATGAAATATGCAATACTTTATAGACTTTGTATTAGATGATTTTGCTCAACTATAGGCATATGTAAGTGTTCTGGGTACGTTTAAGGTAGCCTAGGCTAAGTTATGATGCTTCGTAGGTTAGGTGTATTAAATACATTTTCGACTTATGATATTTTCAATTTATGATGGGTTTATTGAGATGAACCCCTTTGTAAGTCAAGAAGCATCTATATTTTGTACTCCTTAATTTTTATTGTATGGAGTCTAACTGAGACTCTGTTTATCAACTGAATTAACTGCATTTTTTGGTTACAAGATAATACACACGTCTTTCAGTTTGTACCCAGTTTCATCTTAACATCGGCCTGGAGAAAGTACTCCTTAAGTAAACATATTATAGAAAACTGAGAAAAGAGCGAGAGGTGCTAGATGTTAAAAATTACCACAAAACTCTAATCAAAACAGCATGATATTGGTATAAGAATAGACAATAGAAAAGAATAAAATCTAGCTGTGAACATATAATTATGGAACTTGAAAATATTATAAAAGTGGCAGTTCAGAGGGAAAAAGTGTTTTATTTAATAAATGTATTGATACAGTAGAATTGCAACTGGAAGAAAAGAAAGCTGGAT